TTAGTATGAGCGGCGCTACTCCGTAAATGACACATTTGATTCTTGTCAAGTTGAGGGAATGCTAAAGGCGGTATAACTTATGTATTTCTGGCCTTTTTTTCTCTATACTTCAGCGTTGCTTGAAATTTTCTCATCTTCCTTGTCCATTTTATATTAATGTCTTGCGTATTTTCCTCCGTTTCTCTTCTCCCCTGCGGCATAAGTCTGATCATGAGCAAAGCGAAATATTTCCGACGTTTCTTGAGTCTGGTTGATTATTTCACTGTATGGTACCTTCTTATACAGACTGCTAGATAGACATGAATCAAATGAGGATATGGCTTTCGCATTACAGATCATGATAATATATATCCTAGCACCCGAGTTATAATCTAGTAGATGCAATCAAATGAATGAAGATATAGACTGTATAAACCGAAGTAAACCCAAGTAATCCACTTAGAAAATCCGTTGCAATCTATATACATTCGTACAGTCGCACCAAAACCCACGATGCCCTATCACCGTCCACCGATGGGAAGACGTCCACCCCGACTAGTAGGGAAGTTACGCGCACTCAACAAGGCACCCTTCACACCGCGAATATCAGCCCTGAACCCAGCAATAGCCTCGTCCTCCCCCTTCCGCAGACCAGCGCTTTCACTCGAGCCCGAGTTATTGGTATTCCAAACCCCGTACGTCGACCCAGAAGAGTACGCAGGAGCACTGTAAATCAACCCGTCACAATAACGATGCAGATCCGCGAGACGTGTACTCATCGAGTCATCCAGCGTACTCGCCCCCTTCTCCGAGTCGATGATCTCGCGCAGCTTCGAGGTAATAGACTCAACGCGGCTGACGTGGTTATTGACCGCCGTAGATGGGGAGATGGGTGCCGAGTCCACCGGGCCAGTAGTGCTGGGTACTGGAGTTGGCTCTGGACTCGTCTGTGTTGCGACGTCCCTGTGGAACAGCTCGGTTGGGTCCGAGGTGATGGACGAGGCGTCGTCTTCTTCGTCGCTGTAGGCCTTGCTCTTGCGCGCCGTTAACTCCGCCGGGATCACGGATACTGTCTTCTCTAGCTTGTCGTTTAGCTTTTGCAGATTCGCTTCTGCTGTGCTGGCGAGCTCGTGCCGTGCGCTTGTTAGGCTCGCTAGCATTGGTTTCACGAGGTACTCGCTTGCGCCGTAGAGGGTTGCTCCTAGGCCTGCGGCGCCGTATAGTGTGTACAGGAGGCTACGCATTGTCACGAGTGGCGGCGGCTTGGATGACTCGAAGAGGAATTCGGGGTAGGTGATTATTGGGGGGACGTCGCGGGAGGCGGGGGTTGGCGCTGGTGCTGGGCGCGATTGAGGCATGGTGTTGGAGGGTGACGAGGAGGTGCTAGGAGGAGAAGGGGTGGCTTCAGATTGAGTGGGCGAGGCAGATGGTGTCTCTTCCGGTGTCTTGTCCTTGGGTGCGGTTGAACTGCTGCTCGTCTCTGCATTGCGGGAGACGCCGAGGACCTGCTCGATATCGTCTGAGCTCAAGCCTTTCGACTCGAGGAATGAGATTTTGCGTTCTGTTGGTGCATCGCGGATTGACTCGTCTTCTAGAAATTTGGATGCTTGGTCTAGGAGAGTTTGTCGAGGTGTGGCTGTAGTCGCGGGCGCATCGTCGGAGGTCGGCGATGGCGACTCCTCGGCCGTCTTATTGGGCCTCTGCCATGAGGGAATAGATGCTGTTTTAGATGTGTCGTCAGGCATAATGAGGTATCTGACACATTTGCCAGAGATATGAGAAAGCAAAGGCGTTGGTGTTGTAAAGAGGAGACGGAACCTTCCCCGGACTTGCCATGTGAGCCCGACCTCGGCTGTTCCAAGGCCGAGTACACCTAAGGCATTGATATTTGCCATAACTACATGTACATCTTGAGATCACATTGATAATTGTTCACATTGTACTAGAATATGATATTGAAGACTAATCCAATATGAATGGCAAATATTGTATTTTAAATGTATTTAGGGCGCTAGATGTGAATATCCAAAGTACCTTGTTCACCGAAAATAGCCTGTATGTGAGACGAAGCCATACCACCTGACTTTCAGGTTCTATTGAAGGCTATAGTGTCTTCTACAATAAGTCATTCTCTATTATATCTAGCGAGATCAATTGAATACCGAAAGACCATCTCAATACTCCATAATGGCATCCGTATATACTCGATACCGCCCGGCAGAATGGACCGTGCAGTACTTCATTCGTTCATCCAGCGTCAGCGACTGGACATCTGGAGAATCTGAAACCTTAGAGAAAAGTACTTGTGAGTATGGCGTTTCCCCCCGTTGGTCTTGTTGTTTTTGTGTGCCTTCCGATCTGCCCAAGCCCGGGGTTAGCCCCCAAACACGCCCCCAAGAGAAGCCAGGAGAAACAACCCCAAGCCTGATTCCCTGTAACGGCGCTTTGTTCTCAGTGGAAACATCCCGTATAGAAAAGCAATCTGTATCTTCCCGGTTTGCAACTCCGCGTCTCACTCAGTGGATGAAGTGATTGGACATCCCTCCTTCCCTCTCTCTCCCTCTTTCTCTCTCCAGACCTTCCCCTCTCCCCAAAGGCTTAATGGCTTAAGTTCATACTGCCACACACTTACCCTCCTTGTCCCGCTTCCTTTTGCTGTTCTGCTTTTTGCATTTTTCCTTTCCCAACAACTTCTGTCACACTCGATAAAACCGCCACCATGTCGCCCCGTCGATCCCTTCGATCGCGAAAGGCACATGATGAATCCCCAGAGCCAGAGGCTAACATGGCCACCAGGTCTACCAGACAAACTCGCGCATCTGTTTCCGCGTCTGCTCTAGTTTCCATCTCTCGATCTTCATTGAATTCAGGGGATCGAAAGAGATCTCTCCGGCTTACTCTCAAAATGGCCTCTAGCAAATTGCGGGAAGCTACGGGTGCTGGCCGCTCTGCTGGACGGCGCTCAGTCAATGTGTTTCGGGATGATCCTATTGTCTCGGGACCCCGCTCCAGTCGGAACCGAAAGAAGATTGTAGAAGTTGCTACAAGCGACGAAGAAGAAATCGACGACCAAGAAGAGGACGAAGTTGATGATGAAGATGCACCTGGAGACGATGATGACGATGACGATGCTGATGCTGATGCTGACGCTGATGGTGACATCGATATGGATGACGTGCAGCCTCAGGCGCCTACCAGGCGCGGTAAAATCACCCCTCCCTCTCGCGCCAAGCCGCCCAAGAGTGTGGAGGCCAAGGAGATCAAAATGGAAGAAGACGAAGACGAAGAGGAAGAAGAAGACGAGGAAGAGCCCATCTCCGATACGGATGAAGATGCCGAAGCCGAGGGTGAAGATCAGGATGAAAGTGCAGTCCCAGACGTCAACGTTGATGATCTAGATGAACTCGACGATGATGATGGAATAGAGGACGACATGGATAGTGATGCTCTCGCTATGCAAAGTGGCAAAACCACCAAGCGCCAGCGAGGAAATCTGGGGAATGATTTCTTGCAACTTCCCATGGGTGGGAAACTACGATCAACCATTTGTCCAAACCGAAGCTAACTAAAAAATAGAGCCCCAGGTCAAGAAGCATTTGACTGCCGAGGAGCGCCAGATGCGTCGTGCAGAGATGGCGCGGCGAAGGAAAAACCTAAGTGAGAAGCGGAATGAAGAGGAGAAGGTATGCGCAAAAAGTCATTTGAGATATCCATTGGAGAACGGCCGCTAACTTTGATCAACAGATGGACACAATCAATCGATTGCTAAAGAAGCAGGCCCCTAAGCGGCGTGGTCGAGCTGCTGCGGCCGAGGCCGCCGATGGCACCCCCGGCCAAGAAGGCGCGGAGGCCGATAAAGCCGACCCTACCATGGCGCGCTGGATCAGCGGTTCAAATGGCTGTAAAGTAGCTGTGCCAGAAGAATGGCTGGGGACACCTACTGGGCGTGTGTTCGGTGCACCTACAGTTCCTGCAGGGAAAATGGTTGAAGAAGTTTGATTTACATGCAGAAACTACAACGGATTGGCGCTTATGGGGGGATTTTCTGTTAAGGTATTTGGGAATGGACTACATCATCATTGCAAGGGACTAGGGTTGATTTTCTGTGTGCTGCGAACGGCGCTCAAAACATGTCTCTTCCAGATGTCAAGGTTTAAAGGTCATGCAATACATCGATTGTTTCAAATATTTCCAGATGCACATGGATATGCCGAGAAAACTGGCTTTTATATCCAATTAGTCGGAAACCCTCACTACAGTACTACCTACCAGTACTTCGAAACTGGCCGTTGTGCCAGTCTTATATGTACAACGGCCACAATACCAAGAAACCGAGGAAGTACCTCTCGCCTGTTCTCAGCACAATATGCTTTATTGGAGATCGGCTCTTCCCCACATTCCAAGGCTGGCGCACGCAGCGCCATATGTTTCGTTGGGCTACACTCGTCTGCTATATACTATAGCCCTATTAAGACCTTACGATCTGCCCTAACATAATGCTATAATGCCTTAATGGCCGCCAATTTAGCGACGAGGAGACTAGGAGAACTAGGGCTCTGGCCTAGTATATAAGGCACTTGGGATTAACACTAGTTACTTTGTGCATATATTAATGAGCACGCACTGAGAGAGCACATCGTACCCCATGCTCAGGGCGATATTGCATGGTCAGCGCGGCAATGCCTCCCTCCCACAACCCGACAACGCCGGAGGCAAGCTCCTATGAACTATTTCAGACTTCGAGAGAGGTCCTCGGTGCCTTTTTGGGTACATACATAGAAACGGTGGTAGAATCAGGGCGTTGATGGATAGTCGGGCTCCAGTTGAGCCAGGTCTTAATATTGCTGAGCCAGGGTATCCACACTTCGTAGACTGCAGTACATTCACGGAGAGGATAGTGTCAAGGTCAAGGCTATATGCAGCTGGCAGAGGATCATGTGACCAGAAATCGTGCTCCGCGGCAATCGAGCTGTCATTTGCCATGAACGCTCTCCTGTCTCCTCGCTATACCCACGTCAGGCATGACTTCACGCTTGACTTCACGCCTGAACGCCTTCATATCTGCCTCCAGAATAGCATATCGATCCTTTCAACCCACCTCTAGAAGATCCTTCGTCAGTTTACCAGTGGAAACCCTCATCGACGAGGAGACGCTTCCTCACTATGACCCGAGGCAATTCTACCCCGTACGCATTGGAGATGTATTCGATGATAGGTATCGGGTCACCGGCAAGCTTGGTTATGGAGCCCACTCGACGAGTTGGCTATGTCACGATATTCGGTACGTGACCACTCGAGATCAAGAAAGCATACCGCTAAACTGGCTCAGAAGCCAAAGCTATGCCGTACTAAAGGTATCTACATCACTTCGAGGTCTCCCTAATGCGACCGATCGCGAATTCCGGGTTTATGAGCACCTTGCAAAAGTCAATCTATCACACCCAGGACAGTCGATGCTTCGGGAGCTGTATGACTCCTTCGAGCTTCGGGGCCATGCTGGCAGTCACCGGTGTCTTGTCTTACAACCGATGCATATGACACTTCTGGAGATGATGAGACTAAATCCAAGGCCCTTTGACCTACCTCTCCTCAAGTTGACGTTTAAGCGCTTATTACTCGCACTTGACTATTTACACACCGAAGCTAATGTTATTCACACTGGTACTTCTCCTCTCGAACACAGGGAATCAATTCTAGCCTAACTTGAACTAGATCTCAAAACCGACAATGTAATGCTCAGCCTGGAGGATACTACAATGCTGGCCGATTTTGCGGATAAAGAGATCAGGCACCCGATCCCGCGAAAGAGCATAGATGAATCGCGTACCATATACCAAAGTCGACAATTTCGCCCACCGTTGAGAGGTAAAAGCTTCGGTCTTCCAATCCTTTGTGATCTAGGGGAAGCAAGGATCGGGAAAACACATAACTCGGGGCCTTTTGTACAGCCTGATATCTACCGAGCCCCAGAGATCATATTTGAGATGACCTGGGGGAGTGCTGTTGATATTTGGAAACTAGGTGCCTTGGTGAGTAGTGCTTGAAGTATTTCTTATGCTCTCGCTAATGGAGGTTAGACTTGGGATCTCTTCGAAGGACGACATCTATTTGGGAGTATTTTCGATGACAAAGGCAACTACGACCCCTTCAAACACCTTGCGTCGATGGTCGCATTGATTGGCCCACCGCCGCCTGATTTTATCCAGCGCAGTGAAACAACGGGGCAGTGCTTTGATCGCAATGGTAAAGACCTCCGTCTCAGCATTCAGTTCTTTTAATCAACAGGATACGACTCGTGCTAAAATGATTGCAGGCATTTGGACTGCTCATGAAGACACGGTCGTGCCGCGGGACTCCCTAGAAAATCTAGAAATGCGACTCTCCGACTATGAAAAGGAATCGTTTCTTCGTTTCCTTAGGTCTATGCTCAAGTGGCTACCCGAAGAGCGCATGACCGCAAGGCAGCTGCTTGATGATCCGTGGCTGCTCTAATCCCAGCAAATCCTATCTCATCTCATCTCTACAATAATAGCCAATCTTATGTTGGCAATAAAACCCTAGTGGTCGGTCGCTATGTACTGCGATGCATCATATACCTGAAAATCATACTAACGAGTCAACTATGTATTATCCAAGTTTGATGGAACCACGCGACTTCTTCCACTCCGGCGTCTGGTTTTTGCCCGTACCTCGAAAGGCGTCGGTTGATCCATTAAAAAGATTGAGCAAAATTTGTGACGGCGGCAAGCTCTCCCTTCCTGCACAGGAATAGCTAGAATGGTCTCATCTCGTTGGCATTATTGCTGTCTTATGATCTAATGAATCATGCCCATGATTGATTGTTTGTAGGTGCGTGGCCTGGCGGTTGATGTGTCGACGAGAGAGGTGCTTAGATGTTGAACCGAACGTAAAGAGGAAGCTTTGAATAGAGCTTCCGGCCCCATAAGCCGCCAGGAGACGTACAGAGACATCGCGATGCATGGTTTGTTTACAGATGAAGAAGCTAAGTTGTTAAACTACTGAGTGTGACATTTGACAATTTATCGTCACAGGCCATGCCATAGACAGAGAAAACTTGCTTGTTGTCTCTTCCACAAAGCCTATGCACAATGCCTCCAATGAGTCAGATTCATAACATCTAATATAATTCATAGCATGCAAACTCGTCCATATACCCAAGCACTGGGTAAACCCTTGAGCAAAGGCCGACTCTCTCTTCGCTTCCACCACGACGAGATTCAGAGAAATTTGGTCAACTTGACTCTGGAGGTAAGCTGACCATTTATCGTGGAAAGACCCGTGAGATTCAACTGGGGCAGTGGGATGAGGTGCAGGGCCTGGGAAGTATATCATTAAAATTGAATCCTGGTTTGAGTAGGAATGTGAGATTGAGATGTACTCACATTGCTTAGTAGACTTGGCTCCCAGAATGTTGAGGTATATATGAAGTGAAGTAGGTTACCTGGTGGTAGAGCTAAGAGAGGTCAACCTGAGGCGGAAGACTGCCTTCCCAATTAGATACTCAGATCAGCCCAGTGCCACTTCAATGGGAAGGCCGGTTAACGTCATTGAGTGGACTTGGGATCTTGCTGAAAGTCAGCTTTGGTGAGGGCACTGGTGTCCTGCTTCAGAGCAACAGGATCAGACGGAGGCGAGGTCTTCTGAGACTGCTGTCTCTCATATTGAAGTTGCTGGAATGTCGGTTGGAAAGTATAGTAGCCTAGAGCAGATGGAACAGTTCAGCGACTTATACCATTCTTGCTGTGGGGTATAATTACTTGTGAAGACCCCCACGCCAATAGCGAAAATGGCAGGGAAGAGATTGCGACTCATTTCGGAGGAATTGGGGTAGACCAGCGAGATTTGCAGTTGCGGAGGTTGCGGAGGTGCAGGAGATCGGTTATCAGTTGGCTGATTAGCAGCCGGCGCGTCTGCTAAATTGCTCCGTTGGCACGCGTCAGAATCAAACGCCCCTGCATTCAGACAGTTTGAATAGATTTTCGACGTTTTGTTTCCTTATGTTTCGCGAATTTTAACCTGAGGATTATTTCGCTCACGTTTTCATCGCCCTGAGACCGCCCAATGACTGTTTAGAGATATGGGGGATCCCCGCCGAGGATGCAAATGGAATCATGGCGACAACGAGGATATGTCCCTGACTCGGACGAGGAAGATGGCTTCGATTCTTTAGATACGAAGAATGGCAATGCCGAAAATAGTCCCGTGGTCGAAAATATCGAATATATCGACAACCCTTCATCGTCACCGAAGGAAGGGGCGACGAGTGTGACGAAGGAACAACGCGAGCACGTTCGGGTTGAGAATGGCTCTATCACACTCTCAGATACAGAGGAGGTCGCTCGTCGGCACACGAATCGAGCAAGTCCCCACCTCATAAATGCTGCGCATGACGAAAATACACCAAACCCAAGAAGAGCGCGCAAGACTTACGGACTTCGATCATCGGCAACGAAATCAACGAATTACCGTAACAGCGAGCTGCACATTACCAATGCATCCGTGAATAATACAGCCAGCATATACGACTTCCCAACGTCATCACAGGAACATGACAGGCCTCAATCGAAGCCCTCGAGCCGCGAGTCTACCCCGAAACCCTTGAAGCCCACACGGCCGTCCCAATCGCAAGATGAAACCCCAAGCACTCGGAGCTCCTCGCCTGACGAGCTGGCGTTGACCCCTCAGCCAACTCGGAAGAAAAACACCGCGGCCAAGCGTGTCCAACCAATAGAGGCGCCACCACTACCACCACCACTACCACCACAGGAGGCTTCGGAAGATGACTCTCCATTATCTTCTCTACCATCATCCTTTGGCTCTCCGCCGGCCAAAGATTCCACAGAGATACACGCAGATGGTATGATGGAGGTAGAAGCAGAAACGCCGATAAATAAGGAGGCAGATCTACCGCAAGCAGTGCTCGTTGAACTAGATGCCAACCCCGATGATGTCTTACCTCACCTTGATATCCCCGATGAAGTATTGCGAGAATTACCGCATGCCGCGCAAAGAACATTTCGAAAGCGCAATGCCATCCAAATGCACCCATATCATCTGGAACAGCTCAAATTTGCGCAGCAACTACAGGCGCGGGGCGTCAAGCCTTTTGGCCGACCGCCACAAGAAAGACAGCAGGTTACCGATGAAAGTCAAGGGCAAGATTCATATGATCCCGATGCACCTCCATCAAGTCCTCCCTTGGAAGAGTATCTTCCGCCGATAAGACATGAACGGCATCGTGGCCCACAATCTGCCACGCAAGGACGGGAACACCACGACTCAGAGCATACTCGGTCATCGCAAGCTCGTCTGGCAAAGCGCCAGAAGACATCTCATTCCGGGACTCCCAAAGAACGTCATAATCTACATAAACCGTCTAAACCTCGTGGTGTTAGGGACAGAAATACACCTACTAAAAATCAAAACGGTGTCTCCATCTATGACTTGTCGTCTAGTCCCCCCCACGCAAGCCGTTTATCGTCTACCTCAAGAACCCCTCGTGCCTCAGAAGGAGGGTTTCGGTTCCCTCGTGGGTGGTCGCCACCGGGAGAAATTGCAAAGTCCGGGGCACAGGAAATACAAGAAGCTGGCCAGGTTCAATCAGCTGGTGCGGGTACAGATGACGAGGAGGAAGTACAGTCCATCTCGTCCAACAGCCAGAGTGATCAAGAAGAAACCAAGTCAGATGCCGAAGAACGTGAAATTCGACGATTCCAACGAATGATCCGTGGAGCGCTCCCTGCATCACATGCTCGGCTGAATCAGAAGAATGATAACGAAAAATCCTTGAAATTAGACCGCCATGCTTCTTCGCAACGACCGGATGGAAAGGGTGTTGCGCGGAAGCTCATTCGAAGGGGTGATCGCTCAAAGCAACCAGCAACGCAACAGGCAAGAGGCTTGTTTGATCTTGGAGATTCCGATTCGGACGACGAGGACAATCGAAATGATGCTCTAGGAAATGCCTCTGTAGCCAATGAATCCAGCCAGATGTTGACTGGCACTCTTAGCCTCGAAGATCCCTTCGCGCTGGAAGGGGGTGATATCTCCGAGGATAACCGCATCGACTACATGTCTGCACCTGTTCCGCGCAACCCAACAGGTTCTCGGCACAAAAGGAACAGTTTAAAAAGGCCAAAATCGAAACAAAGTTTGCCCAATGGGGAAAGACAGCCGAAGAGACCTCGTCAAACCCGAATGACCGATGCCTCGTATGGAGCACGAAGGACCAAGAAACCCTCTGCCGTCCAGCGACCAAGAATAGGAATACTGGATGCGCCAGATGTTGCTACGAAGCCTCGCAAAGAGCAATCGCGACTGCTCAGGGTAGCGACAAGACGACCACGCTCACGTAAAGATGGAGGCAGGCAGAGCCCTACTCAGAAGTTCGTGAAATTGGCCTCTAGGGAGGACACAGTGGATGCAAATGAGTCTTTGCGAGATTGGAAAAGGGGAGCTATTCGGCAAGCCAAGATTAGCCCGCCACGTTCCAGAGCTCCCCAAAACCGGCATTGGACAACGAATCTTTCGATTCTCAGTGCTCGAGCTAAATCGAATGCTAAAAACGGCCGGATACCGAACCAATTCCTCGATGCAGAGGCAGACACTGGTGTTTCGAACACCAACACAGTGGAACCTGAACGGGTACAGGCACCACCCGAATCTAGCGCAGTGTCAGTCCCACCGAACCAAACCCCAGCGGCCGTGTCCTCGTCGCGTCGAAAACTAGAGCAGCACGGTCACACATGGGTTATTCCTAGGAACGTGCCCATAACATCTTTGAAGAGGAACACCGTTAGGCCTGCGGCAACTAGTTTGGCAGGCCCTGGTAGAAGCCAGAAAATGGTACCCGCCATGTTCAACCAGTCATTGTCTCTTCTTAATCGACACTATAAAAACCAGCGCACATCTAAACCTTACAAGCCCAGCTTGACTTTGGATCGATATGTCTCCGACAGTGGATCATTGAGTACTGGAGGCAATTCCTCGCCCATGAATGCTTCTGTTGCTGCTGCCGCCGCTGCCGCCTCGGCTGAAGCAAGAACCCAAACGCCAACCCCCAAAGCCTCTGTATCTCGACGGCGGTTGAAGAAGCACCCCCCAAACGAATCAATCTCGATGCCGACGAATTCCGTCAGAATCCAGATCCTGCTACCATAGTCTCCGATGACTTGGAACCTCCTATCATAACGCACATTGGAGATGTACGTCCTCCATCTTTCGGTGTCGCCGGGCTTTTCAACTGGCAACGCTTCTATCCGGTCGACTTCGGAGTACCATCCCTACGTGACAACACATTTTTCCATGGAAGTACATTCATAGGAAGCGGGGAATTTTCTCGTTCGTTGCAAATCACAGGAAGGGACTTCGATGGGGATGCCGCTTCATTCTCCATTCAGCTCAGAGACGAGACATTCCAATGGAGTCGTTGGAACGATACAGTATCATCAGAGATCGGGCAGGTCTTTGATGTGATTATCGATAATGTTGAGCGAAGTGCTGTCACCTCCCCAGAGACAGGCATTACGGCTGCTCTAGGTGTGGCGTCGAGGTTATACAGATTGTTGATCAAATACATCACGGAAAATCTGGTTTTCACCGACCCAGTTGATCGTACAGAGTTTGTCACCAGAGCGATGGGGCTAGTCTGCCAGGTGAGAGACCCGCTGGCTGCCTTTCTGACTAGCGACGAATACAACAAGAGCGGGCTCGTCAAGATTGCATGTTTCAACATGGTTTTCTCGAACCAGATCTACCAAGTTGCTTCTCACCGGCTCGTTAGCCCTGCCATTGCAACCGAAGCTTTGGATATTGTCAAAATATCCGCTAAGGATGTTGCAGGCTTGATCGCGTCAAAAGTCGGTTCTTCTGAGTTCAAAACATTGCTTAAGGAAATCAATCAGCCTGAACGCCGCGAGTCGGGGATTCGCGATGAGTATCCTTCGGCGGAGGCTTATGTCATCACAAAACATCTTTTACGCAGTTCAGAGAACTACAAGGGCTGCTTTGAAGATAACCAGCTCGAGACTTTCAACAACAAAATCATTCGCAATGAAAGGGATGTGGGTAGCCTGGAGGCTGGATGGCATGACATGTTTACGGTCTTGCCGCTCAACGAAATAGATCCGCTTGGGATTGCACGCCCTGGTTACCAGTTGACAGCTGCCAATGACAATTGGATATTAGCCAAACGGCTTCTCGCCCCAGCCCTCGACCATTTCGAGTCTAACTCTAAAGCACAACCCATTTCATACAACATCTACTGTCGAACCTTGTTCCTCAGATGTCATCGGCTTATCAATTCTTGGGGTTGGAGAGAATGCAAAGCTATCCTGGATACATTATTCGACTTCTTCGCTAAGAATACCCTCCACAACTTGAAACTCGAAGAAGCTCGGGGCTCACCTTCATTCCTTGACGAACTTGATAACAATCCTTCTCTGGATGCCCGAGTGGGAGAACCGTGTTTCCACACATTTCTCAAGATCGTAGCAAGTGGTCTCCGCTTCTTGGCAAAGAGATATGACAAGAAAAAGATTCGAAACTTTGCCTGGCGTCTTTTACCCAACCATGGCCGTGTGTACCCGAAAGAACAGCCATTGCAGCACGAAGACCTTGACGCACTAAGAAATCATCACGATCTTCTCAGCACCCTGTACTGGGCTGTTCCTGATGGGTGTCGCCCTCGACTGGAGACGATACGCAATCTGGTCCATCCTGCCACTTCACATCGTGAAGCGTGCAGCATCAATTTGCGGTCATGGTCAAGGCTTGTTCGATTCAAGCTTTCTACCGATGAGGAGGTTTCGGGGCTCGATCCGTTTGGAGACTGGTATGGTTATTTCGTTACAGAACTGCAGCAACAGCATTCATATGCTCGCAAAGAGATTGAGGCTCAAAATACCGGCGACAATCGGGTTTCTCAGCAGGTTGTTGAACGCACAATCTCCCAGAACCAGCGGCAGGTGGAGACTTTGCTGAGCAATGCGCTTAGCGGGCTGCGGATTGCTGTACAGCTAGCTCCGACAATGGAGCATGCACGCAGGCTTGTTTTGAGGACTCCTTTCGAGTCTCTTCTTGCACTTTTCAACCCGAAGCTCCCGCGCGTGAATGTCGTTGTATCTGAGGCTCTGCAGGTCCTAGTGGCGTACACCCAGAAAGACGTTCCAGCTACATCCACATCGAGTGCTCCTGTGGCAGTGAATACTGATGAGGACAGCCAGGAGTTCGGTGACTGGGATGCCATTCAGGCTGTCTGGGACCAGCAAAGTTCCCCTGGTGAAGGTATTGAACATGTAGAGAAGGCTTTCCATCCGATTGTCTCTCGTCTTGTTTCCAACTGCTTTGGCGAGGACCACTGTCCCAAGGATGCAATCCTTCTCAACGTAGTGGAATGCTGGACGTCAATCGCTCAGGTTCTCATTCGCCATGGCCTCCGAAACTGGGACAATTATCTGAGCGAGTTCGGCGATGATTCATGGACGCGGCTTCGACAGACAGTTCAGACAAGAAAGTTTGCACCGCTGTTTCTTGCGACATGTATTGAAAAGGACGCGCAGATTGTTTCTGATTGCCGAATCCAAGTTATGAGTATGTGGATGTCATCATTGGTCGAGCGTTCCTCGATGTTGAAGTTCCAACATCGTCTCACGGAGGCGCTATTGAATGGAAGTCCCACAGATCCCTTGCTTGCCAATCTTCCGTTCTCCAAGGATAGGAAGATTGGCCGGTATACAATCACATTGGAGGAAATTGGCTCTCGGCGCCTATCTCTCCTCTCGAGCCTATCGTCTAATATGCGTGAACAGCTCTATGGTATGGAACTTTCTGGGAATCGGAACTTCTCCGTGACAAAACAGGAGTACTCCGAGATGCTTCATCGGGTGATGACTTCCATGAAAAGCAACTATCAAGAGCTAGGGAATGGAACAGCGCAGGCAGCTCAAGGAGAATACGTTGAATTCGTGCAACGCGTCATCGGTTTCCTTCAGCAACATACCAGCGATATCAAACCAATCGATCCCTTCTTTACGGACCCTGCTTCGTTCCCCTTGCCGTCTACCGACCCACGCTACATTGTTGCGAAGCTCAAACGCTACGAGTCGAAGTTATCTTCCAGCAAAGAGATCCAGACCTTGACCGGGTTTGTCCAGAGCATTTCCGAGCGTGCTGCCATTGACGGCCAACAGAGCTACCTAGTTGAGCAATTGCACACCTCGATGAAACACACATACGAGGCTGGGGACTACGACAAACCTACTCTCCGCGCCGTCCTCTTGCAATGCGTGTTTCCAGCGTATCTCGAAGCGACGCTTCCCAACCGCGCCGCCTGGATCCTCAGCCGTCCCATCATCCAAACCATCACACTGGAGTTCAAAAACCTGCTGTGTAACATAGACACTCTGGATCCAGCCTGTGTGTCTTCTGTGATCGATATCATTGATGTTGTGTGCCGAGCCTCCTGTCAAGCACTGGGTGTAGTCGCCTCCCGTCGCCATCGTCTGCAAAGTCCTACAACCTTAGTCATGCTTGCCGCCTTCCTAGACATGATTTCCTCAGTGTTACCAGTGGTAGATTACATCGATCGAGTCACTGGTGCAGGGAAGGGTATTTTCACGTACATCGAGTGGATCCGCGATTTCGCCAAAGCCGTGAGCAGATGTCTACAGAGCACAGATCCAGACATAGACTTGTCGTCGAGCAGTGCCCGTGTCATATTCCCTGCTACACCGCCGTCCTCTGATAGCAGGAAAACGGAACTCTTTAGTACGGCTAACAACCTCGCCTCGAATGATCTCCAGCTCTATCTCAGAAAATGGTCTTGTCATCAGGACAAGTACTACTTTACTCGTCCCGGTCATGAGTTACAGGAGATCAAAGTCGAGCCTGAGATTGCTGTTCTAGTGGCTAGTCAGAGTGAAGCGCAGAAGGTTTTCGAAGATGCGGCGAGAGGTTTCGTTGATCGTGCGACGGTTCTGGAGTTATTGTCTTGACCGTGTGGTTAATTCTTTTCGATCTTTATATACATGGCGTTCTTAGGGGAATTTTAACGTGTCACGAATATCAAAAAGGAATCAATAAGGTTATCTGTGCCATATTGCCAATATTGCTACTCTAACGGGGTCATAGTCTTTGGTTTCAATGTATTCCTTACTGTACGAGCACGAGGTGCTCCAATAGTATATTCATGGCAACTCCCGAGGTCTTAGGTGAGAATGTTCAGAAGGAGCCGAATCATGGATTATGCAAGGGCTATGCCAAACGAATCCAGTTCAAACAGCCCAACATCAATCAGGGCTGCATACCCTCGACTGGCCTGGATATGCAGGTCAGTATGGAATGCAATCTCCGTGGAATGTAATCTCCGTTGATCATCCAGAACCCCCGATTTGCCTGTCTCGGATCCAACGTGTCATATATTATTCCCTTTGATTCCATAGTCTCAGTATCAGAGATCTTGTACTATCATTTCTGGTGTTACCAGAATCCTTATTACGACCTCCTCTCTGTCAGAAGCTATTCATTCTCTTCGAATTGGAGGATATTCCCGCCGACTGCAAGATGCTACCATGACCAAATACAACAGCACAATGCGTTTGTCATATTTTGATAGTATTGTGATTTGAATAGCACTTCACGCATGACATATTCTTCCGTCATTTCGAAATTCAGTCATGCGTATGGGCCATGCGCAAAAGCCACAGGCCAAGACCTGTCAGAAGTACTTTGAACCGCGACATCGGTGTTAGTCCCTGCTTCAAGTTTTACCCAGCGTTTTCATATGCCCGGCACATTCATTTGCCTCGATCAGTTGGCATATTATAAAGCCTGATGTGAGAATAGAGCTCGTGATACTCAGCACTACTGTAGCATCTCAACACCTGATTGAGTTCTTCTTTAGAGCGTGATATATGGACCGGAGCCTGACGACGATACCATATGCTGCAGGGGCAAAAGGTAAATTCAAAAGTGAACGCAGTCTGCGAATACTACACAATCTCACGTGGATGTGACGGAAGGTCGGGTGTTACAATATCCTGCGGGGAAAGGTGAAACAAGTTTTATACTCGCCGTTGAAGTTATTGTTCAAGGTTTATATTGGTATTTTAGTTGTCTCGCTTTGATTTGTTTGGAATTCAGTGCATTTTGGGACGTATAATATCGTATAATATAGTCAGGGGATGAACTATATAATCTGTTAAGGGACGGGAGGAAATTCACATCATTGAGAAATCAACTTATCGATTAAGAACTGGTACGACTTTTAGCGATGATCTGGAAATCCCTCTTTAGTACTGTGGCTATGTTGGCACATATCCTGCCAGCTTTAGCTATCCCAACTCCGGATTCAGAGTTGACCAGTCAATCGCAAGACAAATATGTCTTCGCCCACTTCATGGTTAGCATACTAGCACCTGGATACTTCCCATTTCCCACCATTGACACAGATCCTATATATCTAGGTCGGTATAGTAGAAAACTACCAGTTATCAGACTGGAAAGAAGACATGACCACGGCCCAATCCATCGGCATCGACGCATTCGCACTGAACTGTGCAAGCATAGACAGCTACACCCCAACCCAGCTAGCCCTAGCCTATGAAGCAGCCCAGCAAGTTGACTTCAAAGTATTCATCTCCTTCGACTTCGCCTATTGGACGAACGGGGATACCGAAAAGATCACGGCGTACATGAAACAATATGCAGGCCACCCAGCGCAGATGCAATACAAGGGAGCTGCGGTGGTAAGTACATTTGTCGGAGACAGTTTCAACTGGGATGCAGTGAGGCAAGGAACACCAAATCCTATTTACGCATTGCCAAATCTCCAAGATCCCGCGGAAGCTACCACCGATGCTGCTCAGAGCGCTGATGGTGCCTTCTCGTGGTTGGCTTGGCCTACAGATGGGGGAAATAGTATCATCCCCGGCCCGATGACTACCATCTGGGATGATAGATTTGTTCATTATCTCGCAGGGAAAACTTACATGGCCCGTTAGCAACCCTTGAACCCAGTTCTAGCCTCTGAGTGAATAGTAAACTAACTCAAATGACAGCCGTCTCACCCTGGTTCTCAACGCACTTCAACACTAAAAACTGGGTCTTCGTTTGCGAGAACCTGCCAACATTACGCTGGGAACAGATGCTTTCCCTTGAGCCAGGCCTGATTGAGATAATCTCATGGAATGGTACATTTATCTTATATTTCCTGGAAAAGTCTCTCCTAACCGACGTTATATAGACTACGGTGAATCCCACTACATCGGCCCGTACTCAGCCAATCACAGCGACGATGGCTCTTCCCAGTGGGCAGCCGATATGCCCCACGACGGCTGGCGCAACCTGTTCAAGCCCTATATCGCAGCCTACAAATCCGGAGCAAAAGCCCCTACCGTGGAAGCAGATGAAGTCGTGTACTGGTACCGACCTACACCCAAGGGTGTCGTGTGCACGGGGGATACCCTCTCGGCGCCATTGGGTGTGGGTATGCTCAGTGATAGTATTTTTGTCGCTACTATGTTGACGAATCCCGCTACCTTGACTGTGCAGAGTGGGAATAATGCTCCTGTTAGCATTGATATTCCAGCGGGGATTGTTACCTCGAATGTGACTATGGGGGTTGGTGCTCAATCTTTCCATGTGGTTCGGAATGGACAGACGATTCTGAGTGGGCAAGGAAGTTTGGATGTTAAGGATAGCTGTGTTCATTATAACTTCAATGTCTATGTTGGGTCGATCACTGGGGAAGTCAGTAGCTCGACTGCTAGGTAGTAAGATCCGATATTATGGAGTACGTCTCTGGATTATTTCAGGGAAATACTGCAGGCACATAGGCTGAATTACTTTGGGTATATGGTAGTATTCTTAGATGTCTTTCTAGGTTACATATTCTCCCCATTCTCACGTAGACGGCAGGAAGACGCGGAAAAGGTCCTAATTTGTGGAAACTACTTTTCTATGTACAACCTGTGAGATGGCATTTCTTCATTATGCAGAACTAGGAGTAAATAAAACACCGGCATGCTCAGATTATGAGCACGAAAGAAAACATAATAGACCCCCAGAGTAGACGCCTGATGAAGCCAGAGCAACCCAGGTAGGTGAAGCTATTTCCTCGACCTGCACTAGCGTTGATGGCTATGCAATTACTTACGATCCATAAATAGCAGGATCCACTTAAGCCGTCGGGCCCCCGGCTCCCGCGGTGTCCTGGCTGCCGCGGCGATGGAAGGGATGCGTTCCAAAATGGAAAACTTTCTTCACGGCATTGGTGATGCTATTCTTCCTCCTGGCCGGTGGTGCGTCCTCTGTGGTTTTCTTGGGCACGGAGGCATCATCAGCAAGGACAATCGATGTCACTGCTGGCTTTGGCGGCCACTGCCCGTCTGCTTTCCAGCCTTGAACCATGGCTTTGGTCAAGTGGGCGAGGTTGACGGGGACGGTTGGGGTCATGCCTTGCACGACGACCTTGGTGTAGATTGAAGGGTAGATTGCGGGATTGATGGTTGCGCGAATTGGGTTGTCGTTTGAAATGAATGGCGGGGCAACGGGGCAAAGTGGTTCATCAAGTTCTTCTTCCACCTTCTCCTCTTCTGTTTGGCCTTCCACGGCCGGGGAGGTTGTAAGTTCAGTAGGTACGATTGCGGCAACTTTCTGATCCGGCTCTGTGATGTTGGTCTCTGACGAGGCCTTCCGTTTAGCTCCCTCGTCTGGCGCGGTAGACAATCCATCCTCCTGATCATCTTGCTGTCCCGAGGTCATATCCGCTCGATTCTGGAGCTGCTCGCTTTTCTCCCGGTCCGCAATGGAAAGTGAAGTCTCGGTCTGGGCTGCCAGATCAGAGGCACCAATGCCCTCACTACCCTGGCCAGGCGGCATCGCAGTTTGGGTTGAATCAGACAAAGTCTCACCATTTTCTCCTAGCCCTACGCCATCGGGCTGATCTGTTGTGTCCGTCCGTGCACCAGCCAACGCGCGCTTTTCCTCCTCCGCCCGAATCTGCCGCCGAGTCTTCGCACCACACCACGCATCGCGCCTGGCCATCCATAAACGTAGCCCTTCGTTCCATGCCATTTCGTCGTCTATCTGTCGACGGCGTTTGCGACGCCGCTCAATACCTGCAGCTCCCGGGGCGAGGTTCAGCACGGCTGATGGATCATACTCTTGTTCGCTGTCCGAGCTCTGTGGCTCGAGTTCCGAGGTTGGGGTGTCGAATTCTCGGAACCGCCATTCGCACACTTCGCGGTCGTGGCAAAGGGTGCCGTCGGCAGACGACGGGGAGGGAACGCCGGCCTCGAAATCCCAGTCATTTCGTACGACATCCTTGACGAAGCCTTTGGCCTCACGAACCGAGGTGTCCCGAGACCCGGTGGCCATCATTTTCACGATTCTATGGATGTGGTGGATTTCTCGGGTGGGAAAGTGGGGAGCTTTATAGCAAGTTTTTCTTGCTTGGCTCGAAGTTTTTCTTGCTTGTCCGTGCACTCCTGATGTTCTCAACTGGAAGAAAGATGCAAATTGGGAAATGCAAAGCAGCAAACAAGCAAACAAGCAACCTTGGGAGGTCTTTGCAAAGTCAGGGTGGCGGGATGATCGGACTCATGTCATAACGCACGTGCCCCAATGCGGAGATACAAGCTTCAACCCTTTTTGCCCTTGATTTTCATTTCATTTTGACATATCTTTCGTCCTTCGTCTATTTGTTTTAATTCTGATATTGCTAAAACATATATATCGCTCGTTCTAAACTCTGGGTTTATAATCTTACAATGGGCAACACAAGGTGATTGAAGACCATCGAAAGAAAGGGACCTCGCCTGGTCAACCTAACATATGGAGTGACGCAACGCCAGATTAGTGCTATAAATCCATTGGTGCTATCAATCCCTGTCAATAGAACGCGCTATGCCAACTTTGGCAGCTGGTTCGATGAAAGTACAGATGTGGCATCATGCAATTTCAAACATTTGCCCTTGCCAAGGCATATCAAAAAATCTAGTTGAGCACGTTCTCAAAGGCCAGTTCGAAATCAATATTTCATATCCAACACCTCACCTACTACTATTTCTACCTTGTTACTTTGTTCTAGAGAAACAATCCCTCTCCATGCACGGGACTTTAGCAATGCCGATCGTTTCCCCAGACCCATCTATGCCTGGCCCCCACTGACCTCCTTCAAGACAACCGCCCATTCAAGCTCTTCCAGGCTGTCTGCAAAAAAAGAGACGTTGAGGCCAAAGGCTCTTTTGAATTGTTGCACACTGCTAGCATAGAGCATGGACAGCTGCAACCAAGACAGTCAGCATTTCATGGCCACGCGAGTTGAAAGACAAATTACCTTGATAGACGCATGGCAAGGACCCCAATGGACGAAGACAGCCTTGGTACTGCACATACAGTGTCTGGAATTAGCCAAAATTATTCCACTACACTCATTAAGTCCCTGGGGTAATCTCTTACCGCTTCCCTTCGCTCCCAAGATCATACTCCATGTCGTAGATGGCATACCGTGGTGCTGGGTTACCATCTTTGTCGACTGCAGCTGACAGCTTCCGGCGAAAGAACTCATAGTCTTTCACCGTGGATGTTTCCTCGACCACAACGCTCTTGTTGTTGTCGGAGATCTTGTAGATGATGAACTTGGGCCTGGTGGCCTCTGGTCCTGATCGGAGTTGATTGAATGCAGACATGCATTCGTCTGCGATAGAAATACTGATACACATTGGTTAGCTGCCACATTCCTCATGGATGCTTTTGCTGGGAATGTAGAAGTACCCCGATGGATTCTGCAGAAAGCAAGCTGTTAGTACTTATATATAGCGCTTGTAGCAAACCCACGTACCGACATATTGGGACTGGTAACTAGTATGCTGCAACAGAAGAACTTATGCAGTTAGGATATATCAGATCAATGAGCAGAGAAGGGAGCAATTTCTCTCGCCTTATATCCCTATTTCTATACATGCTGCCTGATTAGGCTGATATATTCTATCATGAAGGAAGAAAAAGAACTTTGGCATTTAGCGGTAGGAACCTGGCAACACGAATGTCTCTGCCTACTCTATCAGGGTTGCTGCATTAGGCATACTCCAAATGTAAAGGCCAAGGAATATTTCAAGCGATTTCCAAACGACACTCGTATAACAAGCACAAAGTGTGTTGGGTTTACAGTTAGAAATCTAGCAGGCAGGTATAGCCACGTAGTCACTACCCCAAGGCTAGATCTGAAGGCATCTGGATAGAAACAATGCAAATGTTTATTGCCCAAGAAATGGATGGCAGTATATACATTTGAGTAATGGTACAGGTCTATAGTATCGCTAAAAGTACAAAGGGAATCCCCATTTCCCCAATCCGGCGAGAAACCTCGAATAAAACAAAAATCAAGTCCGCACACGCGCCGAATCAGCCGAAGCAGCACCACTAGCACCAGGAATGAATCCCCACCCAGGGCTCTTCTGCCGGCGACCCTTCCGGTCACCATACTGCTCGTCGAACTTCCGAATCGCCGACAGCGAAGACATATCCTCGCTGATCGAAGCGCTGATTTCTTCCATTCCGCGCTCGAAATGTGCGCGAGTCAGAATGCGGCGCTCTGGATAGCTATACGGCTCGTCACCCGTGTGCTTAGCCGCTGCGTCGTTCTCCTCGCGCACGCAAGCCAGTGCAGCCGCCACCGATAAATTCTTCAAATCGGAACCGGAGTACAGCGGAGTGCGTCGGGCGAGTTCAGCAATGTCGACGGAGGGTTCGAGCTGTTCCTCTTTGAGGTGGATTCTCAAGACAGCTTCGCGGTCTTCCTCGGTTGGTAGATCGACTAGTAGACGGCGGGGAAGACGGCGGAGGACAGCATCGTCCAGATCAAATGGTCGGTTTGTAGCGACCATGATGAATGCTGAGAGGTCGTTCATGCCGTCCCACTCGCGCAGGAATTGGTTGATCAGTTCGCGGTGAGAGGTACGGCTGCTGGCTCCGGTGCGCGAGCAGAAGATGGCATCCGCTTCGTCGATGAAGACAACGCAGGGACTGAGCTTCTTTGCAAGCGTGAAAATCGCTTTCACGTTCTTCTCGCCCTCGCCGACGTACATGTCGTACACTTCAGACCCGCTGACTTCGAGGACTGTTGCTCCACTCTCGCGGGCTACGGCTTTAGCGAGGAGCGTCTTACCGGTGCCTGGAGGTCCGTATAAGAGAAGGCCGGGGATCTTGTCGGTGGCAAGGACACCATAAGTGAATGCCTCGGGGCGGATGAGTGAAAGGGAAGTCAGGGTCTTCAGGGCCTCGATGGTCTCGGGGGGCACATGCACATCGTTGAATGTGGTTCGAATGCTTTTTGCGTCAACTACACCGTTAAGCAGCTTCTTCTCGTGCGTGTTGCACGTTTTGCGCAAAGAGTTGATCAGCTGCTCTCTGGTCTGCCCCGCTTCCGAATCTTTCTGCTTGGGTGACTTCTCCTTCAGCCATTCATTGGTGACTCGGTCGCTTTTATCCATGAGCTCGATTCCACGTCGGATGTGCTCAAACCCAAGGGCCTCGTTGACTTCAGTGCAGCCAAGTGCAAGGGTAGAGATCCAATGCACTTGATTGTACGACCAGTACCGATCCTGGATTCCTGATTCTTTGATGGTTGAAGGCTCCAGCGGCCAAGCGCGGTCGATTAAGATGTTATCTTTTACAGGCAGAGCCTGTTCATGTAATCGGAAGCGAAGCATCGTCTGCAAGTGGCGAATGTTGATCTCCATGGTGCGCTTCTTTCGGTCTTCTGCGAAGACCTTTTCGGCGTCTTTCGAGCTCATGGCAGGGGTAATGAACAAGGTCTTCGAGAACTGGTCATCGAGAACATTTTGCATCAGACCAGCACCATCTTGTGAGGGTGGGTGGTGGATTTCCTGAGAAGTAGTTCCGATCAACAGAATCTTGGATCCTGCCGCTCTCCGATCTTGAATGACTTTGTGCAAGAGTGAAATGAATTTAGACCCCTCCCGGGTGTTTTGAATGTCACGGTAGTCCTGGATATGCATAATGAGGTCTCGAGTTGGCGAAGCCTTGCTAGGTTTCGTTTCGCCATTTTCCGTTGTCTCAGTGGGGACTGACAGTGCTGGTTGACCTGATGAGCCGAGGAGCTCATTAAGTAGTTGAATCCACCGAGTTTCAGCGCGCTGACCACTTGATGAGGCCCCGGCCCCGGGATCCGGATCCGTTTGGCCATTAATCGATCCCCCCAAGAGGGTTTTCAGCCCAAGCCAGTTAGGAAGCGGAATGTCACCGGCCTCTTTGCTGCTCTCAATTGTGATAAACCGAGGTGTGCCAATATCGCCACGCATTCCACGGGGACCACCTGCAATTTCAGTCACGTCATCCTCGCCGTCTCCTTCAGGATCTTCAAGTTCTGACCATGAAGTAGGGGCCGATTGCCGATATACATCATACCCGAGAGATCGAATGGGCGAAGTTACCCCAACATCTGCGAGATCTTGCTCGCTGAACAATTGTGCAATGTCCTGGGCATTAAGAGTTACCAGGTCAGTGCCCAGCTCCTGGGCAAGCTTCTTCACCACCGCGTCTAGGAATGGTATACCATCACTACCCGGGTAATGCACCGCCAGATGCGACTTCTTTACCGAAGGCTCTTTGGCATATTTCACAGCTGGTAACCGCAAGCCTGCTTTGACGGAGGCCCGCAGCTCTTCCCATGATTCTTCGGCCACCGCATACCGATTCTCTGTTGCTGCCGGGGTATCACTGGATGCAGATGGGTCCGAATCTCCCCCGGAAGCTTGAACCTCTGTTTTCACCTCCTCCAGCTCCTTTTGTAGCCCTGACTTGGTTATTCTAACCTGTTGGTGTGATTGTGTAGGGCGGTCTTCGCTGCTGTGAGACACCGTATTATGCTCATAAAACCATGCAGGTACAGTCGTCGTTGATGGAGAAGCCTGCTGCGGGGACTTTCGGTTTCGCATCGCTCTGCGTACAGCAGATCCGTAGGTTTTAGTGATCGACTTTGCCGATTCGGAGGAGGGAGATATCGCCGGCGTGCCATTGTCGGAGATATTCTCAGGTTTGAGGGAAGGGTCTTCCACAATATTCCCCGGCGCTGTAGACTCGGCATCGTGAGGGTCTTGAGACGGTGATGCGAGCCATGTTCGTGACAGATGGAATCGTCGCGCGGACAGCGGTGCGGAATAGCGGCGGCGAGCGACAAATCGACAAGGGCGTGCAACCGACAGCCGGACTTGTTGCATTGACGAATACATCCGGGACAGTGTCACCGGAGCTTTATGCGATATCGCCGAGAGTAATAGATGTATGCACCAAATCGCGAGTGGCACAGGGTCCCTACCGGACCCTACGAAGGAGAAATGAGGAGTCACGTGATAATATATTTTCCTCAGCCAGGTTCGGTGTTATTACTCCGTAGGTCGGTACAATTTATACATGTTATACATGTTCCATACATATGTACCGATAATGCCTGGCACTCGAACCCTTTCCCTTTCCGTTTTAATGCTCACCTCTTGCCGCTTTTTGATCACTGAGTAAAACTGAGCACGTCCCTGAGTATTCTGACTTGATCACGGACCATTACATAATCGACGTGATCCACTCACTGATCATCATCTGAGCACTCTGAGTGCTCATAGGGATGAGCGGCCTGAGTAAGCTACATCAATAAAATGCGACACGCTAATCCCATCACGTGCAACCCTTTCCATTTAGATCGCCCATCAAAAACGGACGGGCGCAGTCAACATGACCGTTCGTCCTAGTGGTCTCGATCCTATCCAAGTAAAAATCTCACAGTGGGGCTATTCAAGGGCTATGGGCGACGGATCGGACCACTACGACAAAACTAATTTTCTGCCGAGCAGAAAATTAGTCAGCTAGCCATACGCTGTTCCACAGCTGTAATGAGTATACAGCAATTTATATTTTCTCTAATTACTCACTTTCCAACGGTCGCATTAAGTTCAAATTTGAAGGTCTAATTAATTAAAATGCCCCTCTCTAAAAGAGTTATAAATTTCAAACTAATTACGACTATTAGAAGCTGATAAGTAAGTATACCTGAGTAAGTAAGTATTGTTTCGGGAGGAAAATGTCTTCCTGGACCGCCTTCCTATTAAATATACTGCCGACTAGGAGTTTCAAATCGGTAGAACTAGTAGAATTCTAAAAGGCGGTGAATTCTGGTATAGGGCATTAAGACAGAGGAATAACTAGAACCTTATAGCATCGATAACTAAGCAATTTTATGAATACCAAGACTATTTTATACCTAGTAGATTATTCCAGGTCATATGACCTCCCCGTATACCACCATCTTCTCCTCCTTACGCAAATTGATATTTTCCAAAGTACACGTATTCTTTACATAGTACACTCTCCTCTCTCAAATATGGTACTGCCATTATAGAGAGAGGTAATCTACTCTTTAAAAGGTTCAAGGTTAATTGATAGACATATACTAGAGGTAAATGTAAAGAGGTTGCAATATTACATACAGGCCCAAGACCATAATCATATAGGCGGTGATTAGAGCGGTGAGCCAAAAATTAGTTTTGTCGTAGTGGTCCGATCCGTCGCCCATAAAGGGCTATTCAATTGACCCACCATTTTACCATTTCAGCCTATGCTCCTGGGAAGACCCCTCGGAATACTTCGCTTACCAGCCCGGCGATCCCCTAATTGGGCTTTGGACTACTACTAGGGCGAGGGCGATTGGATGGATTTCCTTTAAGATCTAGAACCTTTCCCTGTATCAAGGCAACTGGAGGAATCAGTGTTCAGCAGGTGACGATGATGGACCACTTCCCTCGCCAATGAGCGCACAGGCCGAAGGCTTTCCTG